TATTAGACTTACAAACTTAGTTTCAGTGATGCCATATTGTTCTTTCATTTGGCCGGAATAGCGAGCTGCTTTCGATCTGTACACGTGAGCCGTTTAATTTGTATATTACACAAATGTTTTCGCGAACTGACAGTTTTTAGGTTAGAAAGGTGCAAAAGTGCAGAATCAGTCCAGCATCCCCTTAATTTCCTATATTGGTTCAATAATAATAATATGTTTAATATTAATATAGTTTCATATTGGAGTGGAATATTTTTTTCATAAAAATATGTAGTTTAATTGTTCCCAAACGTTTGCTGCAATAAAATCTCTTTGACATTTCTCTACATATCATATTGCTATTAAGGAAGTAATTTCTTTCACAATGACAATATGAAAATATCTGTAATTTTCGAGTTAAATTTTTAAAAGTTTTATTAAGAATGAAAAATAATTACTACTTACGTAAATAATTTTAGAAAATACATAGCGCTGAAATCCTTGTTTTTCTTTTTAGAAAAACAGAGACATTCTCTCATATAAGATAAGAATATATACGTATAATATTAATGTAAAATTATAATGTTATATTTAATATTAAGTTTCATATTGGAATTTTTCGACATAGAAATCTGCAGTTTAATTGCTCCCAAACGTTTTCTGCAATAAGACTCTTGACGCCCCACGCCATATCATATCGCACCAGAGACGCGGCCCAGCTGTTATCCAAAGTGAAACTCTTAATTAATTCGGCGAAACCCGCCCTTGTCGCGGATTAGCCGCTATTTGCCACTCGAAGCGAAATCTCAATTTCCCAAAGTCGCTGGGCTCTCTCCTCTCGACCGGCCCTGGCCTCGCGGGTCGATAAAGCCTCTCACTCTCTCCCGCTTCCACATCGCGCATCCTCGATGAGGGACGGGGTGGACGAGGAACGGCCGAGTAGGACGGAAAACCGCGGAGTTCTGTCAGTGGCCTCTCGGACACGGTAGCATCGAAAGTGGAGAACGTCTGCGGCGAAACGTTCCTCCTCGCCTCGACGTCCCGACGCACCGTCCGCGCGTACGGGCATCCGCACGGTAATTAATTAATTCGCGAGCCGTGGGCCGCGCCGACTCGCGCGGCCGCTAATGTGCGCGGAAAATGCGAGGATGGTGGAAACGCAATCCCGGTTCCAAGCCCCACGCTCGACGTACCGTGACGTTCGTGCGAGTTCACGTGTCGGCGTAGCGAGACGTCAAACTGAACCGCGTCTCGATCTGTTTTCTTTCCCTCCAAACGCGCCTCTTTCCGTGGAGAGACGCGGTTACCATCGTCCCGACTGATCGGGCAGCCGCGGATGAACCCTCCAGCATCCCCGAAAGACACCCTTAGCGTTGCACGACGGATCGCGCGCGGTGTCATCCTTGCCAAAATAGCCACGTTCAGCAGGTACAAATTGTTGAGTGAGCGCTCAATGATTTCTTAATATGATTGGGCTAGATCTAAAAGTATTAACCAATCGTACTGAGCGCTCACTCAACTGTTGTGTCTGCTGAACGCGGTCAACGAGAGCATGGCGAACGACACGTATTTTTTACGCTTTCCGCCGATACTAGTCAAATTTCTTGGCTCTGGATCCTTTACCCTCGCCAGCACTCGACGCTCGACGACAGTCGATATTAACTTGGTGACCGAGGGCTCTTTGAGATAGACGTTTAAGGGATAAGGGGATGTGAACATCGACATTGCGCGTTGACGCGCTTCTCCTTACAAGCTTCTTCTGCAGCTTATTTTACACAAGAGTATCTCAAGTTTCCCGCATTTTCTTTCATCTCTTTGATCAATCTTGTAGTCATCTTTTCTTTAATGCTTGAGCATTGGTGTTGGTGTTTTACGTGAAATTTTCACAAAGAAAAGAGATATTGGAATATTGACGGTTTCTGAAATTACAAGCATTTTAAAGGAAAAGGACGATTTTGCATTAAGAAGTGGAAGTGAACCGTCGAGAAATCGTATTTTTCAGTTAATCCAGGCTGAATTTAATGGAATTAGCAAAAACTTAATTAAATGTCACCATTCCCGATTCATTAGAAAATACTTAAATAAAATATGTTTCTTCAAATGCCTTTTTTCAAATATTACCACAGGGAATATAATTTTTGGAAAAGGCTCGTTTTTAACCCTCGTGTCTCGGCAGGTGCTGATTGCGACGCCCGGCGTTCTTGTTTAAAATATATCGCGTTCCGAGAGTTCGTGAATGAAAGCACGCTAAGAAAGCCGCTATAAATAATTCCGCAAGATTTTCGTGATTTGGCCGACGACTTGGGCGAGTCATTAAAAAGGAATTAATTGAGAATGTATCGCGTGACACTCCTCAGTGCAACCGCTGGCAAATTGCAATTTTATACAGCTCGGTCGTTTTCTCGCCGTGCCCTTACCGCAAGCGAACCGTTTGATCGCTTTTTTACTTGGCAGAAAAATGGCAGCGGGCAGCAGGCCACGATGCCGCCGACTACCGGACGATACAGATCCGTATTGTGCTCGCACACCTATTGTTAAATACGGAGATTTAATTCTCATGACACTGACTGTGATTTTCGCAGCGACCGAACGAAGCTCGAACGGCCGCATCTGGCATTAAATACGGGATATAAATGCGGGCTACATGTGAAGTCGAGTAGAGAACATATGTCCGCGAAAATGGAGCTATTCGTCTTTTCTTTAACCCTTGAGCATTGCTGTGAAATATCGGTGATATCTCGCGTGAAATATTTAACTCGGCCCTTTATGAAACGAAGAGAAGTAAAATATTTTCACAATGTTTGTTTCCGTAGGAAAAACTGTTGCGGGATAATAATGAGTGTTAATGTGGAACAAACGTGTCGACTTTTTTACACATGTAACTTTTAATATTCATATAATGTAATGCGGATAATAATAGAAGCTTAAACATACATTTTATATCAAAGTTATAACATAATGCGCTAGTGTTTAAAGATAAAAATAGAAAGACATGTATTATATGTAATTGACACACGGAGAGAATTTTTTCTTAAAATTTATCCCCAAAATTATGTAAACATGGGGCACAGCATTTTGAAGAATTTTGAGAGTTTTTAAGGGGATACTGGAGTAATTCTGCACTTTCGCACCTTTTGCACTTAAAACTGTCTGTTTCGTGGAAACATTTGTGTAATATACAAATTAAACGCATAAAAATTAATAATGAGCAACACACATATCACATGTACTGTATGTGTGTGTTGCTCACTAATATTTCCTATTAGATTTACAAACTTAGTTTCAGTGATGCCATATTGTTCTTTCATTTAGCCGGAATAGCAAGCTGCTTTCAATCTGTACATGTAAGTCATTTAATTTGTATATTACACAAATATTTCCGCGAACTGATAGTTTCTAGGTTAGAAAGGTGCAAAAGTGCAGAATCACTCCAGCATCCCCTTAAAATTTTACCATACGTTTAAAAAAAACTCATAAAATTCCTCAAAGTGGTTTCCCTAGCGGAAAAAATTTCTATAAATAACTACAAAAAAATTGTCTTGAAATAAAAATTTGTATATCTTCGTTGAAACATTAATTTTTTTGTAAAAATATCCACGAAATAGTACCACAAATTACAATGTTCTCGAATCAAGAAGTTATTGCAAGTAGTGTTCATGAAAATGTGCAATTTTGTAAAACTTAGTATAAACTAGTTTAAAAAATTTGAGAAACAACGAAATCTTAAAGAATTAAAACATTTGTTCACTTGTAGAATATTACAAAAATTAACAAAAGTGTTCCAATTTTAGCATTTTTATGTTGATTTTTATAACACTTTTTAAATTTACGTAGAATTTATTAGATCCTGGCAGTTATATTTTATAGTCTTGTAGAATTTTGTAGAATTATTTCCGACAGGGATTACATGATTTCTAGGGTAAATTTTAAAAGAGAATTCTCTCTGCGTAGGTTTGGTTAATATATCGCCGTCCATTTCTTTCAAGTTCGAAAACTGAGCGTTTTCACGCGTGTGTTTATGCTGCCGGTCCAGTTATCGTTAATAAGGCGCGATAATTAACGTAAAACGATTAAAGATGCAGACGTTTTGCAAAAGTTTTTCAATCAGACGAGCTATTGATCCCAGCCGCTCGAAGACTCGCGCGTCTCAACTTGCACTCGCTTATCTCGCGGGGAAACTTATTAAATCCATAACGAACGAACGAGTAAAAAGTTGAATATGAAATGAAAATATTGCGCGTCGAACGAACGCGAATATCGGCGCCCCGAGACGTAGCTGATAGCGGATGAAACGAGGTTGTGGTTTATCGCCTGCGTAAAGACCGCCGCAAGTTCCCGCGCGAGTAATTACGCCGCTGAAATAACTTGTTCCAGCACTTGTGACGATGATCTAAGAAATTAGGCAGATTGGAAGGCTCGTTTATGGGGCGCGGTCGAATTCGCGGCGAAGCCGGGGAAGAAGCGATCGCTTGCGCGAAAACGTATCGGGAGTGTAAAATAATTTTCAAAAGTAATTAGAGATCGTTCGTTGATTTATAATACGTGAATTTACGACGATTCCACCCAACGAAAACCTGCGTTATAGGACAGTTTGGAAAAACGGTATATGAGTTCACATATTAAATTTAAAATTATCGGGCTACTTTTATCCTGCTCGGACCTAAGAATTGATTCGACGTTCTCGTTTTCTATTTAAAATAATTTTGTTTTCGTACGAGACATTGTGTTTTGGGGGGGGGGGAATTAATAATATCCTCTCTATTTTTATGAAACACCATTAACTTTGTGTAATACATTCAGATGTACCGATGGATAATACGAAAAGGAATTTGTTTCGTCGTATTGTTAAAAACACGAATCTGAAAAGGAGAAGTCTGAAAAAAATTCATTTTATTTCGAACGAGACCAGACTAGCTAAAAATAGACATCTATATGAATATTTAGAGAGAGATGTCAACCTTGAATAAAGAACGCAATTTTTGTAAGATAATTTATGCGCTTGGACTTTCAAGAGAGACTTTTCAAGTGGCGAAAAATGGCGGTTTTTAAGAGCACTTGTCGATATTATATTTTTTTTATATCTAAGATAATCCAGTGGTTACCTAAAACGATGAAGGCTCTTGAAATTGTAATACGTTTCTTACCGAGACTGTGCTAAATGTATATTTGTTATTGAGCGTAGCTAAAATTACGTTATCAAATTAGATGACACAAATGCAATTTATAGGACCGGCGGATGTTATCAAACTATTGAAATATACATTAATAAAGTTGGCGTTCGTATTTTCAATGTGATTATTGGTGAAGGCTGTTAAAGCTTGTTCAAAAGCAGCTCCATAATTGAGATTGACACGCAGCACAAGTTAATCGAGACAAATAAAAGTCAAAGATATAAAGAAATACGACGAAACATTTAGGCGAAACGTATTGGGTTTTAACTCAATTTTCGAAAGGTTATATTTATTCAGTTAATTACACTTGAGTTTTCAGCCGGTTGTCGAATTTAAACTGAAGTAATGCTTCTGTAATAATGCTTCGAGGAAAAAGCACAGCACGATAGGTTGTGTTTATTCAAATTTAGCAATTCAACAGTCTAAAAAGTGATATTTGCAAATTGAAAAAAAGGCTTGGTTATAATTAGAGGTGTGACATTTTGATGTTATTTTTGGCATTTTTGAGTTCTTTTTTTCCAGACGTTGCGTTATTCTGATTTTTTTGCATCTTTCGCGACTTGTTTTTCCGGATTTTGCGTTATTTTGATAATGTTTTTGATCTAGGTCAGAGACTCGGAAGTGGGCAGGGCTTCAATAAGACGACCTGATGTTTTGATAGAACAATACGACATTTATTAAGGTTAAACATATGTTAAAAAATGTAACATAAAACATAACATATTAAAATAGCATGGATTAAATCACTGAAATTACATATCAAGCTATAAAAGCAGTTACATGTCTAAAAAAAAGTAAACAAAAACTAGTCTTAGGCATAAATCTCTTTGGTTTAGGATACAACATTGACGTTAAAAGCGTTTACTAAGAAAAATTGCGATTTTTGACGTTATTTGGATGCTATTTTGCGTGTTGAGGATCATTTTGCGTTTTAAAAACGTGTAAAAACAAAGTTGGGGACTTCAAACTGTAAAGAAATGACACTAAAAACGTTCCTCGGGCATTTTGCGATATTTTTGCGTATAAATAGCATCAAACTATCACACCTCTAGTTATAATAATCCAAGCTTTGTTGATGTTACCTAGATCTATGGCGAGATAGTTTCAACTAAACACATGGGTTATAATCACGATATAAACTGGTTAAACTTAAAGCATTGCAGAATTTAATTGGCTCAGCTTAGTGCGAAATTTACTCTTAAAAATCTTTATAATTATTATCAAACGTTTTGCTGTTATTATCAAATCCAGTAATAATGGCTAAATTTTTCAAAAATGTATCGCTATGTGCATCTCACGAGTTTACCTAGAACTTTTTTTCCAGCGCATCTTTCTTCCTCCAAAATGTTGCATTTTACGGCTCTATATCCTCTAACAAGTTTTCCTGAAATTTGCTCGCACGCTAATTGGGTTCTACGGCGAGCATATCGCCGGAAATCCTAGACCGACGCAAACGTCGACGTATTCCGAGTTCCATGGTAATCGCGAAATATCACTGCACAAACCGGAGACAAACAACAGCGGTTTAAATTGCGAATATTTCTTAATAATTGCTTCAGGAATTTATCCTTCCGATGTGATTACTGTAATACTTCGAGTATGTATTAAAATACATGTTTTTTTTTACTTTACGCGACATCGGGGATTATCGTCAATTTTTCCTCAGAGTTCCTCCCTCGGAAAAATTTACTTTAAATGAAATTAAAGTTCTTAAAAGCGATCTTTTTAATTTAAGAGTTGACTTAAAGGAGTCAAAGGTTCACTTAAGAAATTTTAGGGTAATTTTGGACACTTAAAGTAACTTTTAGACAGTCCAGCCTGTCGAAGTTCCCGCTAGAGGGCCGCGCGGCATAGCACTTTCTCGTAAGAGGAAAACCGCACGCGTATGTAATATTATAAATTAGTAAAAGTATGTAATATTATAAATTATTATATATTACATACTTTTCACAATTCTTAAGGGGATGCTGGAGTGATTCTGCACTTTTGCACCTTTTGCACTTAAAACTGTCTGTTTCGTGGAAACATTTGTGTAATATACAAATTAAACGGCTCACGTGTACAGATCGAAAGCAGCTTACTATTCCGGCTAAATTAATGAACAATATGGCATCACTGAAACTAAATTTGTAAGTCTAATAAAAATTAATAGTGAGCAACACACATACCACATGTACTGTATGTGTTGCTCACTATTATTTCTTATTAGACTTACAAACTTAGTTTCAGTGATGCCATATTGTTCTTTCATTTAGCAGGAATAGCAAGCCGCTTTCGATCTGTACACGTAAGTCATTTAATTTGTATATTACACAAGTGTTTCCGCGAACTGATAGTTTCTAGGTTAGAAAGGTGCAAAAGTGCTGAATCACTCCAGCATCCTTAAAGTAAGTTTCAAGTTTACCGTAAGTAACAGTTTAAAGTGTCCAAGTTTACTTGTCATATTTCTTTTTTTCTGAAGTCAAATTTTCCAGGGGCTGCTCTGCGTTGTGAAATTGCGGAATTTTATTTTATTACGCACGAGTATCATGCAATTACGCGTGGAAAAGCGTAGTTGGTAATGCGTGCTGGCGATCAATACGATTAAATCCGCGCGACAGTATGGCGTGTTTTCTATCGATAGGGCTGTGTATCGACCGATGCGTTTCAAACCCTCCGACGAATTTTTATGGCTTTACGTCGCTACCTCTGAAAAATGCTCCAAAATTTCTCGCGAGAGAAGAGCACACACGCATGTCCGTGTCTTTTTTTAAATTCTTCATGAACGCGGATTGTAGTTTAGATAGAAATAAATGAATTCGCTCTACGATTCACAATATTTCGAACGATTCATTAGGTTTCGTTATTTAAAGTTTTACATTGACATTCGGAAGCAACGCGTATAACACGCTCTAACTTTGCTAATTTAACTTTAAACGGATTACATTCTCGCGGCGAGGTTATAGAAGCGGCAGAAATTTCTTCAAAGTGTACCGTGCTATCTTTACTTATTTATTTCCTAGTAACGTGAAGTTCACGACAAGCATTGTAAGCGCTAATGGAATCGCTTTAAGTAAGTCGCGTACGAATTTCACAAGCAATTTAGCTAATTTGCAATTTTTATTTTAGCGATACTCCTTTGATGAGTCGGCAATTGTTTCTTCCTCAACAGAAATATCAAGATGCTCGTGTTATCGAAGTTATAAGTAATTCAAGAAAAGAATTTTCATTGTGAAACTCAATTTCTAAAAGATAATGAAATAACAAACTCCCGCTCTGCAGATAATTTTAACTTGACTTTATTTTAATAGAATTTCAACACGTAGCTCGGCTATAAAGAAGTATTAGCAAATGATGATTTATTAACTTTGATAAGATTGATTGTAAATTTTGAAAATCTGTTATTACAATTAACAGCAAGTTGCGGGCGAAACTGTTCCTTTATTATGTCGCTTCTAACTTTGGCGCCAAATTTCCATGTTGTACGCGGAATTTGGCGTGTAATATACACGGAGATACACAAGAGGGTATAATGTCCTTCGTCATATTATCATCTGTTCAAAAGTTAGTCAAGTCTTCCTAAATTTTGCTCGAACATACTAATTGGATTCTACGGCAAACGTATCGCCGGCGATCCCGGACCGACGTAATTGCCGATGTATTCCGAGTTTAATAGCAATCGCAAAATTGCGTGAGCTGGAGACAAACATCAACAGTTTCCGTTACAGTACTGGATTTAACAATCGGTGACATATTTGGTTAATAAACAGACGATGTTCGTTTATGAATAGCAATTTCACGATAATTCTGATTGGAATAAACAGTCACATAAATCGCACGATGAAGATAAAATTTAATCTTTTTATAATTACGTTGTGAAAAGCTGCAATTACAATTACATTTTTATCTGTAATTTAACAAAATGTACTCTCCATACATTTTGGAAGATAGTGAACTTAAGGAATTATTTAAGGGGACGTTCCGCTTTAACGGGCCAAAAACTATGCGCTATTCGAACGGTGTAGAAAACGCTTAATTAAAAAATTTGTTCAATTATGACAAATTTGTTCTGTTATTTAAGAGTGCCCTATTTCATTGTATGGCGTGTTTACTGTGAAATAGGGGATGCTGGAGTGATTTTGCACTTTTGCACCTTTCTAACCTAGAAACTATCAGTTCGCGGAAACACTTGTGTAATATACAAATTAAATGACTTACGTGTACAGATCGAAAGCAGCTTACTATTCCGGCTAAGTGAAAGAACAATCACTGAAACTAAGTTTGTAAGTCTAATAAGAAATAATAGTGAGCAACACACACATACAGTACATGTGGTATGTGTGTTGCTCACTATTATTTCTTATTAGACTTACAAACTTAGTTTCAGTGATGCCATATTGTTCTTTCATTTAGCTGGAATAGTAAGCTGCTTTCGATCTGTACACGTGAGCCATTTAATTTGTATATTACACAAATGTTTCCACGAAACAGACAGTTTTAAGTGCAAAAGGTGCAAAAGTGCAGAATCACTCCAGCATCCCCATGAGAAATCTGGTATTTTGTCTAACTGGTCTAGCGCTTGTTACTTAAGTCCAAATGACTTTTTTAATTTAGCACTCACCCCCCCCCCTCTCCGCTCGTAAAAAAGGAAATATTTTCCATTTTCGTGATGTACGAGAATATAACAGAAATTAACATAGAAAGTTCTTTGGTATCCGTGACCTATATGGTGGGGCGATAGAAAGGGGAAGGTCTCTTGGAAACTCAACTTTAGCGTCGTACTAGAATAAATGCGCGTTATAACGCCCGATCAATATTTACAAGAAGAAAAGAAAACTCTTATGATGCTGCAGAAGTCATTGACACCGTCGGGAATCACGTGGACACTGCGAATACGGAATATGTGCCGGTCAGTCGACGCTGCTGGGTCTCATTAATCCATCGGCGGAAACATGATATCGGAATGCGGCGGGCTGGTGCACTTCAAGAAGAGACTAAAGCCTTGCGAGCCACGGTCTCGAAAACTAATTCCCGTTTTCGGAGGATAAGATGAGCAAGAGCGTGGAGTTACTCGCTGGATCGGAGGACAGTGAGCCAACACCTACGAGTGAGTAATAACACGACATACATTGTTAAGTGTCAAGCGAACCTCGTTTTTGTAGAAGAAATTGATGAGGATAATTAATTGAATAACAGGTTGGGAGGGAAACAACTATTTTATTTTTCAAACAGCTTTTTTAATCTACAAGAATTATTCGATCTTTTAAATAATTTTGAAAAATCATAAACGTTAATAAATAAAACAGAAAATATTACACGTACCCATACAGGGAAGATTGCAGGAAGATTGCAGAAATATTACATTGCAAGATTGCAATATTGCAGCAACGTTGCGCAACATTGCTCCAACGTTTTTGGAGGATTGCAGCAACGTTGAAATGTCCGCCCTCGGAGAGATTGCAGTGCAACATTGTAGCAATGTTGCGGTGCAATATTTTTGGAATAATTTGTCGTTGTTGTACATAAGCAGAGAATTTACTAATTACATATGCATCCGGGCCTTTTTCAATACACAGCAAGCTATTGCGAAGCAACCTAAGGAGATTATGTCGCTTCGCAATAGATGGAGATTGCGAGCAACACCGCACTGATCAAGTACTTAATAATTCGCGCATTATTGGTATCCACGAAAATAACATTATAAAATTATCGTAATTAGAAAAATTTTTTTAACAGAAAATACAGTATTTTTATTATTTTTGAAACATTGCTGCAATATTGCTATCGAAAGTTTGCAATTTTATATCCCTGCAATGTCTCTGCAAGATTGCAACGTTTCTGCAATGTAACTGCAATCATCTGTGCTGTATGGGTAATGTATTGCTAGAGGTGTGACATTTTGATGTTATTTTTTTGACATTTTTTGCGTTTTGTCTTTCCAGAATTTGCGTTATTTTGATAATGTTTTTGATAATGGTCGAGGCGCGTGGTCAGAGGTGCGCAGGACTTCAATAAGACGACTTAATGTTTTGATAAAACAATACGACATTTATTTAGGCTAAACATATGTTTAAAGACATAAAACATAACATATTAAAATTAAAGACGTTCCTGGGGCAATTTGCGATATTTTGCGTATCAAGATAACACGAAAATGTCACACCTCTAGGTATTGCGATCAAGGATTTGCGTTCAATGTAATTTTCTAAGAGAATAAAAGTTGGGCGTTGGAAAAATTTCGCCTGCATATTAATTTCTTCTTACTACAATAATTTGAATAATTCATTTTGCGACAGTCAAAACGTCTTGCTATCAAATATCTTATTGTCTAAGATAATCTATAACTACAAATTTTAGTCAACCGTTTTTTCGACAAAATAAACTATCGAATTCCTCCTAGCTTTGGAATGCGGACGAGTCGACAAATGCAATAGTCCCACCAGATGATTGGAATACCAGATTGATGTCCGCGATACATTAGGCTTTTAGACGACTTCCGGTGAAAGGGAGACAAAACCCAATAAACGGCGAATGCATTTGTCCTCTATACTTCCGGAATTCTATGTCTAGAAGGCACGAGTGCCATCATGTCGTGCCACGTTTCGATATTTTTGTCAACGGCAAAATAATTCCCGACTATAAAATTAACAGAGAATTTAATTAAAATTACGATCACGCTGCTCTGTACATCAAATTTACGTCAAGAAGTTATAATTGCGTTTTCGTCGTAAATTGTTTTCTGGTTGATGCAGTAATTACTTTTTGCAAGTCCAATAAGGGCAATAAAAGTGATTTAACTGACATATAATAATTTTAATAAGCTCCAACAATATTACAGTCTTATGTAAATATTAGAATTATTTTGACAATTAAATCATTTTAATCATTATAATCTTTGCGTTCTTTAATAACACTTAATACTTTTTCAATGAAAGGGGAGTATTCTTTAATAAGTAAATAAATAAATACTGTGCCACGAGTATTATAAGAGCCGGAAATTTGTATCGATTGCGCGACACATCATCGTTCCTAGAATATAATGGAAAGTATACTAAGCCTTTTAAAGACATTGTGATGCGTATTACTATGTTTAATAATACAAACGGATCGATATGCTTACATGTGAGTACATATAATGTACTTCCCTCGTAATTCTTCTAAAAGCACCGTGTATTTTTCCTTACATCCATTCACATCCAGGCTTACTGTTATATCGACATGTTCTTTCAATTTGGCCAAAGGGTATAGCACACATACACGAATATTCTCCTTTTAACAATAGGTTTAGTTTTAACGCAAAAATCTTGAAATGAGATTATGTTGCGTTAAAATAAGAAAAACTTGAATAAAGCAATTTTATATAATTCAATCAAGAAAAGCGTATGCTTGTTATTTAACAATAATTGTATCGAGTGGAAAGAAAACAATATTGAATAGAAGATAACACATTTTCAGATCGAAGATTAAAATGATTAAAATGATTTTATTGTCAAAATAATTCTAATATTTACATAAGACTGTAATATTGTTGGAGTTTATTAAAATTGTTAAATACTTTCAAGAAAAGATTGTAGATTGCTGCGTATATACAAACAATGAACGCGGTTAATTTGAGTATGTAAGAGTTAATCTGACACATTTTTTTCTGTGCAGATAAATAAACTTTAATACAAAATAAAAATCATTAGTCCTAAAATATTAAACTAAAATACTTACCCAGCGAGAAATGACTCGTCGATCGATGTCGAATCGATCTTTACGTCGATTCGACGAATCATTTTCTCACTGCAGGTAATATTATACATATATGCTCGCGCGTGTGCTATTATACGATAATGTATACAGAATATCTGATAGTAATAACATGGTGATTAAATTGAATTGCAAAATTCATTAACGCTTTACAATTTTCCCAATAATTAGTGAGAAATTAATTAATAGCGATCTGCAAACAAGTGCTTATCTGCGCGCGTTTAAAATCAACGCCGAGTGTAAAGGCGTGACGACAGGAAGAGACAGTGCAGCGTGGAGTAATTGTATTAGAGACGGTTAGAAATAATAGTAAGGTATAAGACTGCTGTAATACGGTGATCTTTGCCGTTAGAGACCCGAAAGGTTAAATACTTGTTAAAAATAATTTAATAATGTCAAGTACACGAGGTGTACTTGAAATACAATCACGTCTTGAAGTATTTAGTTACCAGCGGCATGAACAAAGCGAAAAATGTACGGGGTACATTATAATAACTGTTTTAAACAACAATTTTCATCCGAGTAAATATTAAACGTATCAGAATGCGCGCCAATACTTAAAACCAATATTTTGGAATCGTATTCGATATTTACCTCTCCCTTGGAAAATCGCACTGCTGATGTAAAAAATGTTATTTAAAAATGTTGTAAACGCTATTGATACGTCGCAATATTTTGTTATAACCAATAAAACTGTAATTTACTTAATTCGCGATTTTAAAATATTAGAGCACCGCATAGCGCTTTGAAAATTTCAATTAAAACAATATCGGATTATTTAAATGCAGATCATGCAAAAAGTGCGAAGTTATTGATATGAAAACGCATGAGAGAAGTTTAATTTTCTAGAAACATGAATTTAAAACTGATTTTTAGAAATAAATTTTTTATTTGAATGCAAATAATTATTATAGCAAATCAAACGATTGCGAATTATCTCAAAATTGTTACAACTACATTCGTACATTCCATTAGAGTTTATTGAGAAAAGGATCATGCAAAAAGTGCGAAGTGAATAATATGAAAACGAATAAAAGGAGATTAATTTTCTAGAAGCACGAATTAAAAACCGGTTTTTAGAAATAAATTTTTTATTTAAATGCAAATAATTATTCTAGCAAATGAAACGATTGCAAATTATCTCAAAATTGTTATAATTACACAGTAAAAAATCGTGTGTTCAAATGTTAAAATTTTCTTGTGTTACCAAGATTTGATTCTTACTTCAATGTAAAATTAACATAAAACGTACATGTTATTATTTTCGTAACACTTTTACGTGTTATATTTATGTTAACATAATAACTTGACACTTTATGTATGTTACTTAAAGATTGAATATTACTTTAAGTTCTTTTAACACAACTATTTCACAAAATCAACCAAAATATGTAATATCGACATTTCTTCAAAATTATTTCAACTATTCTGATTTTTAACTACTCGTACAGTTTACTTATCCTGTCTGTTTTTATTACACCACACTTAAGGTTGAAAGAACACAAACATAAATGTGAAATACAACGTTGATTAATTAACATTTATAATTTGTCAAAAAGTAACACACGCGATAAATGTTATTTTAACTTAAAATTTAGAGTGGACTTTTTGGGACGTGTAAGAAATGTTAACATTAACATTAAATTTTTTACTGTATACGTTCGTACATTCCATTAGAGTTTATTGAGAAAAGGAGTGTCTGTTACGTTATTCACGTGCATTAAATCAAACTGTGCCATCGAGGTTGCTCGTTTATTCAAGTCTTCTCTGTCGACGTGCTAAAGATTGCTAAGACAACGCCGGTGAAACTTCTCCTCATCCGATCGAGAATTGCATTTCGACTTGCAGGTAACACTCGGGGCCAAGACAGATCCAGATTGAACTTGAACGGGAGCCGTCAGCTCTCGAAAAGCGCCACGGAGCTCCGGGACAGCGAGATCGCGAACAGCTCGCCGTCGAGGCGAGGCGATGGATCGGGCGAGTCCGGTATCGTCCAGCATCATCGGCATCATCGGCATCACGGCTCGGTGGCCCAGCGCACCCACACCTTCTTCGCGACTCTGAAGAGCCGCTGGGCGCGTAGCAGGAGCAAGGAGCGGAAAAAGTCCAAGGATGCTGGTAGCGTACAGTCGCAGGACGCGGGCCAGCTCAAGAATCCCGGCGCCGAGTCCGACTATGCCGCCGATTACTCCTCCGAGCACAGCAGAAGTTCCTCGGCCACTCAGAGCCCGGCCAGGCACTGCCTCAATCGCCCAGGTGAGAGACGTTCCTCTAATCGATGTATTCCGCGAACTTACGTCAAATCCGCCTGATCTCGAAGAACAAGTCTGAGATTGAAGTACGCTAATAAAATAATTTTAGCTGAAAAAGAGCGAGCGAGATCAAAAGGCAGCGTAATGCTTCTGCATGACCTGGTTATAAAGTTACCTCTATATCTGATAGCGTCTATATTTACATATTGCATATCTACAACAACCTTGCGTGGTGCGATTTTCAAACGGGACGTAAGCTTTGATTTATCTTTTATGTCTCTGATATTATTCAGTTACGTGAAACGGATGCAAAAGTTACAGAATAATTGTCTAAAACATCGGCAAGATTGGCAAAAAATACCTAAAATATTATTAATAAAAAAACGTACCTATTGATAAATCGATTTTTAATTGTTTCAAAATTTTATGATGAATTATTCATTGAATAGGAAAAATAATCTACAGACTAAGGAATATGTTAAATGTACTTTTAATATGTATAAGAATGATATTACGAACGATAGGAAATTTTCAAGAGCTACTTTGTATGTACGACCTATGCTACATTTATCGCGTAATGTTCTCGTGACATAATAATTGTACGCACAGTGTTATGACATATCCGCTACGCAACATTAAATGCATAGCAAATTGGATCACTACTGTCATGCGATGAAGCAGACAGTGCTATCTGCAGCAATGCTTTCCAGCTAATATTTGATAAAACATTTATGTCTCCGGTGCATTATCTGTAGTGCTTTATTTATTTGATATATCGTGGGAGGAATCAAGACATTCTTATCAATGTTTATATCTGAAGAAATGAACAATCTTTATCTTTTTCCTTATTTTAATTATTTAAATGTACTGAAGTAATATTTTTTATTATGTAATTTAATTTGAATCTTATTTAGTGTTATTTAGTATTTATAAAATCGATACTTATATCGAGAACCTCATTCGTCTTTTTCAAAATTTTCCTAATCGGAATTTTATTCTCTGAAGCATCGTGCGCGAAAAAATTGACAAATACTAGTTTGAGCAAATATTAAAAATCTTTGAAAACCATCATTACTCGTGAATCTAATTGGCCTATTTTAAATTAAATTTATTAAACTGATACGAGCCTATTAATATTAATTATTTACATTTCAATATTGTACTAATTGTTCTTCTGAAAGAACAACATTTTTAAGCCATCTATTCAAGTCCACGCTGCATCCAAGTACGTTCTTATATAATTGCCAATTTTTGTTCTGAGTTGCTACACTGAGAAAAGAAAGTTGTGCTATTACTAAATATGTTTAGTTAGCAGTATTTCTTTAATTCAAAAATACGTATATGTTTTTCAATTAAACATACGCAATTTATTAAACTATTTTTCTGTATTGTGAGAACCGAGTTCCGTTCATTTTGTGGCTTCTCCTTTCTACATACTTTCTTTTTGGGAGCCTTCACGACACTTTTGGAATATTATTGAACTATATATATTTTTAAGTAACAAATGTTTACGTGAATTAAATACAAATGTTTGTTTGACAGCCCGTGACTGCAGCATATAGTGGAATCAAGAAATGTGTTCTTGACTCCGCAGATTTTTTCCTCAGTGTACTTTGTGCGATAAAAGTTGAAGCGCACCGATCTAAGATACAGATGACTATCTAAGGGTCAAAAGATTTAACCTTTGCAACTATGTCTGAATCACACGAATGCCATCTAGAATTCAGGAATATCGAAGAATGAATATTTGTCGAATTCACTTGAATAACTGATTACTCGGAAATGGCTGCATTTTCAAGCGAATTAATTAAGTTTATCGACAAGCCACTCGGCTCGGCAATTGATCTTTCTTGCGGAGCGGCAGTTGTGTCGCGCAAATTAATTTCCTGGCGGAACGTCGGAATATAAATGCACCCTGGAATAGCACATTTGGCGTGCCCGTATTAAAAGGTGAACCGGTCAATTATCATACATCTAAAATATATTCCGCGTAAAATACATGTGTATATGTTAAGGGGATCCTTCAGTCGTCTTTTTTACCGACACAGCCAAATATACAATAGTTTTTGCGCTTGTAATTCTTTTTACTAGCTTTTATGCACGAAATAATACCAGAATAAGTTGCGGATCGCGTAGCAGAACTTTTTCATACTTAAAACATTCAGTTCAGAAGTTCTAATAATTAAGATTGAGGTTAGCAATTGCCGATTGCTAATAAAGATGACTGTATATAAAAATGACCGTTCCTCATTTTGTCTCTAAGCGTACTTTAATCGTGTGGAAGATTTTGCAATTTTATAGAGTCAATTTCGAATTTAGTTAGAACCACGAATTGAAAATTTCAAATACCAATATCTTTTTCATTGCACTTATGAATGTTTTAAGTATGAAAATGTTCTGCTTATAATTTTGTGCATAAAAACTAATAAAAGGAATTACAGGCTCAAAAACTATATTTGACTTTGTCGGTAAAAAAAGATGCTGGAGTGTTTCTGCACTTTTGCACCTTTCTAACCTAAAAAACTATCAGTTCGCGGAAACATTTGTGTAATATACAAATTAAATGGCTTACGTGTGCAGATCGAAAGCGGCTCGCTATTCCGCCCAAATGAAAGAACAATATGGCATCATTGAAACTAAGTTTGTAAGTCTAATAAGAAATAATAGTGAACACACATACCACATGTACTGTATGTGTGTGTTGCTCACTATTATTTCTTATTAGACTTACAAACTTAGTTTCAGTGATGTCATATTGTTCTTTAATTTAGCCGGAATAGCAAGCTGCTTTCAATCATCTGTACACGTGCCATTTAATTTGTGTATTACACAAATCTTTCCACGAAACAGACAGTTTTAAGTGCAAAAGGTGCGAAAGTGCAGAATCACTCCAGCATCCCCTGGAGATACAGAGGCAACAATTTCGAATACTGTAAATGTGCACCAATAATGTTTGTTATTTTCCAACGCGATTGACTGCAGTAACGCGATCAGAGCGAACAGTTTTACGTGCGTAATTTATATACGTGTAAATAATTACTTGTCCAAACGGCACGCAGCGTTGATTATCAGTATTGCGTTTTTGGTGATATAATGCGACTGCATTTGGAGAGCACACGGAGAATATCGAGCGGGTAAACGGCACTTAATGCCAAAAGTCGACATGCGCGGCACGTTTAGACCTCATTACATCGATTGATCCGAAATGATCCAACGCGAATGCTGACGTGCAGCGTCATACTTTGTTAGGTAGATTAACCCCAAAAACCTCTCGCACCTCCCTCTGTTAGCACGTGATGGTTTTTTTTAATGTCCCTAAAGTGGTAAAGTCGTAACGACAATTGCATAATTACGTTCTGCTCGCCCGAGTGCGTTTTTACTTTCACGACGTCTCGGACTTTTTCAATAATTTCATTCTTTATTTACTCGTTTTCATCGTATACGCGAAACCGTAAAATTGAACGTAAAATCTCGCTTCAATTCGCACGTACTCGACGTTTTTCCTGCAGTACTGTTTTAAACTTTGTAAAAATTGAACACAGCTGGTCTGAGAGGAAATATTGATTTCCCCCCAAAAGTATTACTTACTTCGTATTTATGTTTTCGCATTAGAGTCTTATAAATTTATACTAATTGTTAAAAAGATGAAATCATATATTATTTAAACCTCCGACAATTTGTTTAGAAGACACTCGATAAGACACGGGTTTTGTTTATTCGATCACGCTCGTGGCGAAAATCATGGATATCGCTGTCGCAGCGGGTGCCAAAAACGATAAAGCAGTGAATCTCGGCACATTGAATGCGCAGAATCTCCGCTGGCACGGAGTAGCCGAGAAAAGACTGCGAGCGTGCAAGAGGACACCGCTGGAAAATGCGCCGAGGGATTCTCCAAAGGATCCGTGAGCTTTCAGAGGGAAGAGCACATGGGCGAAGACCCTCGAGGTTCCTTCAATCGGGACGGCGAATTTCTTCAAGACGAGATGACACGAAAAAGAGAACAGGCGCTGAGACAACATGCCTTCTTCCAACTTCGCCTGCACATAAGAAGAGGCGCAAATCTCGTTGCGATGGACAGAGGCGGTGAGAGAGAAAGAGTGAAAATTTCTATTCTTTTTTTTAATCGAAGATACGAAATACGTGCTTACTTTATTTTTAATAAAAAACCGCGAAAGAAGCTGCGCCGTAATTGTATTGCGTGTATTATTGAAATACGTGTCTATTACGACTGGCGCTATTTAAAATTGCCGTTTAAAATTTATTTAAAGTGGATACACTGTTATTTTCGTGCCAGTAAATAAAATATAAAACTCGAGCCACTCGTGCCCTATTTTGCGAAGGAATCGTTATATTTTTATCGCATAACCCCCATAAATTTCACGATGTATGGTTTACGGTTTGCGGTTTATGGTTTCAGGCGCCAGCGATCCTTACGTGAAAGTAAAATGCTCAGGGCGATTGCTGCACAAATCGCGAACCGTTCATCGCGATTTAAATCCAGTTTGGGACGAAAGCATCACCTTGCCTATAGAAGATCCCTTTCAGCCACTTACTATCAAGGTGCATTTTCTTATATCAAATTGCTTTGGACCAAAATGGCAGAAGTCAGGAATGATTTTGAATTTTATTTGAACCATAATAATTCAAACTGTTTAATAAAACGTGACTGGATGTTCGAGAAATAACTTAATTAACTGTACTAGTTTTATTTAAATAAAAGAGTTATTACACAGAATTACTAATGATCGTCGACCGGCTTTTACTGGCAGGTTTTCGATTACGATTGGGGCCTGCAGGATGACTTTATGGGGGCCGCTCTGTTGGACCTTACGCAACTCGACCTCGGGCATTCCCAGGATATCACGTTAGAACTTAAAGACCCGGACAGACCCAAGCAGCACTTAGGCGAGATCTACCTGACGGCTACACTTTGGCCGAGAAATCAACAAGAAAAAGAGCAGGTACCTTATCCCACGCGGTCCTAATCGCACACGCACTTCAGAAATTATTTTTATCCCTTATCTTTGATTTACTTATCTGTCGCGATAATTGGCCAATCAGCCATGTGTGCGCGACGCCAGCAAATATTGAAAGATACACATGCGAAATGCTTGAAGAAGTATCAACGGGGAGTAGTTCTATAAAGGTTTAAGTAAGGGGCGATAGGCTAACAATAAGTGATCACGGCGTCGATCGTTCTCGGTCTTGATAGAGAGATGGATGTGCCCGTGCGTATATTTATAGCGTGTGTATGAAGAATGGGAAACTGGGTTGTGAGGGAAGTACGCGCCCGCGTTCCGTATTACGGTATCGACTTGTCGTTGAAAGTGGAGTGCAAGGCCTGGCCCTTATCGCGCGGCGGCTCTACTTATATGTTAACTATTATTAAACGCCATTCCGCGGGGAACAACCAAGCGGGATACCTCTCGGGTATTACGCATTAAATCTAATTTATTTACGAATTAATAGTAATTTATGCAACAGCCCGGCCTTCTCGCACCAACGTCGCGCTTGTTTCCGAATTGCGTTGCACTTGGGTCATTTAGACTTTGCAATCGCGCAGGCTACAATCCGGTTCTACCGTTTAATTTGTGTTAATCTTAATGATAAATACTTGGAATGTTTCCCTTAGAATTTGGTTACGCGCCATTTACATACAGTTTAGCCTCATTACCTGCCTAATTTTAAAGACGGCAATTTAACCTTTAGAAAGAGGTGCTCTCAAGTCATTCTCTATTAAAATCTAATTTGGTAGCCATTAATATTTTCTCTTGACAAATTATTAATAGAATAAAATTCTGTATATTCCGTGAGAAAACGAGATATAAGCAAATAATTACGTTATTATTGAATTGATAACTTACAACAAATTCTTTCGTTACATTTTTATTAAGAAAGTACCGGTTGCAGGTCTGAGAATTGTTAGATGAAATATGCTGGGGATCGAACACTGTATATCTATCAAGTTGGCTGATAAGCGTACATAATATGCTGTCTATACACATTACGCGTGATATATTTCCATATATCACACCGAACGTATTAATAGCCCATCGTAATCCGATGCTATAATCCGATGCTATAATCTGAGGCAATTCTTTTTCTGAGATAAGACTTATTTAGATCGCAATAATCGATCCGAAATGACATATTGAAAAGTTTTTAATTTTATCAATGCAATTACGCTTCGTCTTTTTAGAAATTTCATTCACTAAAGAATTAATTATAAAAATATATTTAATGTTAAACATTTTTTTAGATAAGATTTATTTAGTATTAACGATCTGGAATAAATCTGGATTAAAAAATTTGTAATGTGATCAATGCAATTACGTTTTACCGTTTTAGAAATTTGATTCACTAAAGAATTGATTATAAAAATATATTTAATGCTAAATATTTTTTTAGATAAGATTTACTTAGTATTAACGATCTGGAATAAAACATTAAAAAATTTGTAATTTTATCAATGCAATTACGCTTTACCTTTTTAGAAATTTAATTTACTATAGAATTAATTATGAAAATATATTTAATGCTAAATATTTTTTTAGATAAGATTTGTTTAGATCATATTAATTGATCCGAGATGAAATAGTACAAATTTTTTAATGTTATCAATGCAATTACACTTTACCTTTTTAGAAATTTGATTCACTAAAGAATTGATTATAAAATATATTTAATGCTAAATATTTTTTAGATAAGATTTATTTAGTATTAACAATCTGGAATAAAACATTAAAAAGTTTGTAATGTTATCAATGCAATTACGCTTTACCTCTTTAGAAATTTGATTCACTAAAGAATTAATTATGCAAATATATTTAATGTTAAACATTTTTTTAGATAAGATTTGTTTAGGTAGATCATATTAATTGATCCGAAATGAAATAGTAAAAATTTTTATGTTATCAATGCAATGACGCTTCGTCTTTTTAGAAATTTCATTCACTAAAGAATTAATTATGCAAATATATTTAATGTTAAACATTTTTTTAGATAAGATTTGTTTAGATCATATTAATTGATCCGAAATGAAATATTAAAAAATTTTTTATGTTGTCAATGAAATTACGCTTCATCTTTTTAGAAATTTGATTCGCTAAAGAATTAATTATGAAAATATGTTTAATGCTACATAAAAAGGTTAAGTTAAAATAAATAAAACACATAAGAAAGTTTAACATTTTATTTATAGCAGCATACACTTGTACGTGTTCTTGAAATTAAAAGTTTGACTTTGCGAATAGTTTCTTTGAACAAAATACTTTTAAAATAGATAGGAGTATTTCCACGTTCCGAATAGACGAATAATCTTTCCTTTCTACGCCCAACAATTTGCCATAGCATTACGCGTATCTCTTCCTTTCGCTACGAGTTGAAGAACTCGTCCACGTCAGAATATCGCGGTTACGGTATCGCGTATACACAATGTCTCAATGTTTGCTGACATAACATCGCTTTTCTGGTGCGAAGAACGGGGAGGGAGAAGAGGCCCAGCTGGCCGGCACGCTTCGCAGGTTACCAATGAAGAACGACTTTGTCAGTAGTCAGGCGACTCTTGCCGTCTTACTTTGCGAGCACGACAGGTGCTTCGCTCTTATCAGTGCGGTGCCGATTCGATACCGGCGCGGAAATGTATTCCATTGTGCGTTGGTAACGAGTTCACCTTTGTTCCCGATAAGAAACTTCCGACGGTTGGCCGTGTATTATACACGCGCGCGCACACGTGCCCGAATTGTATTTCTCCGTCTGTATTTTTCGCCGTGACTCACCGGCGCTAATCGCCGATACCCGCGATCGTCGAGAGGAAGTGCTTACATTTGCACTTAACAATTTTTGTAAACAAGACTTAAGTGAATCAGTGTGTAAATCCATGCTCGCGAGCACTTTTTCTCCCACGGTTTTTCCTCTCTCGCGCGCGTCAGTCGCTGACGTTGCCACGTCGAGTGTAAAACGCGAGCTCGCGAGAAGTTCTTTAGATTATCTGTCTCGAGTGCCTGCTGCAAAAGATTTCCTTTTTTTTCGCGACAGCCCGCCGTAAAGAGCGTGCACGGTGATATACATATAAAGTTGAGTGTGTGACATTTTAAATCTCGGTAAATAGTAATTTAGAAAAGAATAATTGTGAAGCTTCTCAGCGCATATTGCGCGAGAGATGCAGAATCATCGTGTTTAAACGTCACTCGTATATTTCCGCTGAATAATGAAATCCGATGGCTGACACCGTTTTTCATACCCTAATAGCACGGAAATATTTCAAAAGATTCAATATATTTTAAAATATATATAAAGTATTTTACAAAGATTTTAAAATATATTTAACCTTTTAAAATGTTTCTGTGCTATTAGGGTACTAACACGAGCAAGACTTCCGAATAGCCCCAACCTCCGAATGTTATGAAACTCGCGGCAATTGTAGACCATTAGATAATACGTTCACACCATAAAGGATTTTTTGCGGAAACCAATGGAAGCGGAGAAATTAACTCAAGTTAAAAATTGATATATTTACCAAATGATGAAAACTTTAAAAAATGTTTCAAACCAAAGTTGTAGATCTCTTCGAAATATGCATTTTATGTCCTATTAATTTTTACCGTACGAGTGATAATTTTCGAGAAAATCAAAGTTAAAGATGTATCTCGAAACAATTGATGTATAGGTGAAAAAGTGTACACACGGATACAGTGAGTTCTGCACCGCTATACGAGAGGCTCCTTTTCCGAAAGATGTAACCCAACCTAATCTAATCTCTAATCTCTAACCTCTAACCTAACCTAACCTAACCTCCCCATACAGCACAGATGGTTGCAGTTACATTGTAGAAACGTTGCAATCTCGCAGTGCAATCTTGCAGAGACATTGCAGGGATATAAAATTGCAAATAACTTTCGATAGCAATATTGCAGCAATGTTTCAAAAATAATGAAAATACTATATTTTCTTTTTAACAAATTTTTCTAATTACGAGAATTTTATAATGTTATTTTCGTGGATACCAATAATGCGCGAATTATTAAGTACTTGATCAGTGCGGTGTTGCTCGCAATCTCCATCTATTGCGAAGCGACATAACCTCCTTAGGTTGCCTCGCAATAGCTTGCTATGCATTGAAAAAGGCCCGGATGTATATGTAATTAGTAAATTCTTTGCTTATGTACAACAACAAATTATTCCAAAAATATTGCACCGCAACATTGCTATAATGTTGCACTGCAATCTCTCTGAGGGCGGACATTTCAACGTTGCTGCAATCCACCAGAAACGTTGCAGCAATGTTGCGCAACGTTGCTGCAATATTGCAATCTTGCAATGTAACATTTCTGCAACTTCCTGCAATCTTTCTGTGCTGTGGGGCTAATCCAAACCAATTCCTGTGTAGATGGAAAAATGTATGCGTGGAGATAGTATGTTCCGGGCTCCACTTCATTAAGATATAACCTTCCCCAAACCATGTCTGTAGGCGTAAGGCGTGAAAGTTGATAACTCGTGAAATTGTGAAATAAATAATTTGTTATTAATCAATGACGTCTCACATATCTCAACAATTACTCAGCATAATAATCTTAACAGCATATGTCAAGATCAAGGTCATTTGAATTGAGCTTAACGAAAGTTTTACGAACACATCTTTTTTGTTTTTTTATTTCTTCGCACCTGTTTGTTTCCGCACAAAAATCCTTTATGGTGTAAACGTACTATCTAATGGTCTACAATCGCAGCAAGTTTCATAAAATTCGGAGGTTGGGGCTATTCGGAAGTTAAACCCTAACACGAGTGATTATTACAGTAATAGCAGTGTCCTCGCCCATACAGTACTGAAAGATTGCAGAAACATTGCAGACCCCTTTCTCTGCAACATTGTAACATTGCATGGAGGTTGCGAAATGTTTCAGCAACGTTGCTGCAAGCTCGAAGCAACATTGAAATGTCCTCCCTCAGATATATTACAATGTAACATTGCAACAATGACACGGTGCAATGTATTTGTAATATTGATTTTATTATGTGTTATTTATATAAATATACAGGATACTTAAGATTTTAATAGGTTGTTCGGAAAGTTTGTTTTAAATTTTTTGTACATGTATAATACATGGGAAATTTGAAACGAACTTTTCGAACAACCTAATAAATAAAATTTGAAAATGTAAAGACACTCAAGAGATATTATATAAGAAAAATTTACAACATTTTTTCTTATCTTATCTTATTCTTATCGGGTGTCATATATTCTCAAACTTCATCTATTAAAATCTGAAGTACTTTACATATTAGAATATTATTATCAAATTTGTGGTTTATTTTAATATATTTATATAGGAATAGAAATTACCGTGGATTAGAGTGATAGCGTTAAGAGACACGTTGGAGGTCGCGAAGATACACTTTGAACATGGACAACGTGGACGAAGAAGACCGATACCGGCAATATCGGAAATTACGGGACTATCAAGTAGCGTTGCTATACATGCTATTAGGCTGCGTTTGGAATATATGAGAAATAATATAAATGTGAAAAATCTAAAGAACATCATAATACGTTACGAATATATTTTGCAAACTTTATAATATTTCTACAAGGTTACTGAAATATTGTCGGCGAAATATTACAATTGAATGTCTCTGAATCGTCTCCGCAATATTACATTGCAATTTGCAATGTTGCAATGTCTCTGAAATGTTTCTGAAAGGTTTGGTGCTGTATGGGATACCTTGGAAAGCCTTAAAAATTTTACTTAAGACAACTACGAAGTACGAGAAGTAAATTTGGACACTTTAAACTTTTATTTAAGGTAAACGTAAAACTTACTTTAAGAATTTAAGAGAAAACGTTAAGAATTGTGGAAAGTATGTGACATAATTTATGGTACCGCGTGCGGTTTTCTTCTTACGAGAAAGTGCTGTGCCACGCGGCCCTCTAGCGGGAACTTCGACAAGCTTGGCTATCTAAAAATTACTTTAAGTGTTCAAAATTACTCTGAAATTTCTTAAGTAAACTTTTAACTTCTTTAAGTAAATTGTTATGATTTGAAAGATTACTTAAAAATTTTTAATTTCATTTAAAGTAAATTTTCTCAAGGGTCAGTGTTGGATTCAGTGTTTAGTTACGATTAGGCACACCAATTTCAAGGAATTTTTAGAAATATCACGCTGATGCGACGGTTGACAAGCGTTCGCACAAAAGGGTAAACTTAAAAAACAAACTTTTTTCATAGAAAACATGCTTGAACGTTCTTATATTAAGAATTGTGTCATACTGAGTGACGATGTCGAATGAAAGACAGAAAACGGAGACCACCCTGGAGGAGATTCGCCGTTGAACGTTCGGACGCCAGTCCATGAAAAATGTAAGCCGATCGAACGAAAGATGAGAACGAGCTCACAGCCATTTTGCTGCTAAGGAGAACCAAGGAATTTGTAATAAAAACATCGACGAAAATAACACGCTAGACAGATGCTCTCCACGAAGGAAAATGTTCACAATCTCGCCCCACTTGTCGAAGTATTCAAAGCAATTTCCACTTCGTGAGAGTAATCTTCGGGGAGAAGAGATCCGGGAATGTATTGAATTTGAAGTCGACAGTGCGTTCTCAGTCCGTATCCGGTCCTAACACGTATCCAAAATCGCTGCCACGTCGAAGACGCTAGCGATCGACAAAATATGCAAAATTGATCAAGAGAGAGTGAGAATCCGATCGTTGCATCCAAAATGGACACCGAAATAGACCTCTCATCTGAGCTGAATGTGGCAAGTGAACTTAACGCCGTGCCCGAGAGCGAAGTTACGCCGGAAATTGTCGAAGCGATGTCTAAGAGCGACCCCGCGACCTCCGAGACAATGGCCGCGTCGGCGGAGAACTGCAACTCCGTCGAGGACGCGTCTAAAGTCAGCGCTGCGTCTGAAATTCATGTAACGTCTAACGCGGATGTGCCGTCTAGTAAATTGGACGTCGAGTCTGCCGACAGATCATCCGATATCGCCGTGCCTCCCAGAGGTTTGCGTCGGAAGCCTTGCGCGGATCAACGGGAACGACGTCATTCCGTCGCGGCATTGGATCGATCCCTGTCAAAACATACACTCGAGAGGGATTTCCTCGAAGCGGAGACCGACGCTGCCGTAAGCAGCGCCGGCGTCTCGGAGTCGCGCGACAATTTTCGCGAGGATATTCGGCAGGAGGAGAACTTGAGAGAATCGACTTGCTCCGTCGTGGACGAAGAGTTCGAGAAGCGGACGTTTGCAGCCGAAGAACCCACGGGGGTGGAACGAACCGAAGGGGTGTTTGTCAAGACGACCTCTGAGATGACGGGCGAAGGTTCAGGCGCTGTCGAAATCGGGAAATCTAAGCTCGAGGAGGCGTTGGGAGTTTGGAAGACGCGAATGGCTGAAGGGCCGTCCACCGAGAACCTATCCGGGATCAAGAAACGGAAGGCCAAGGGTTCGTTAAGAAGCTCTGTAAAGCGGAAGGTGGATTTGATAGAGAGGATATTGGAGGATCAGGTGGAGCGGATCTGGGAGGAGAACGTGGAGAAGCACACCTGGCTGCAACCGATCGAAACGTGGGTCGCCGACCACTGGAGACCCTCTTCTAATTACACGTTACCGCAACCCGTCGACGTATCCGACAGCTCGACGAGTGCCAGTCAGGACGCCGTGCCGGAGCCCACGTACGACTTCAAGTTTACACCGGCGACGGACGAAAACGAGGAACCGAAGATCGAGAGCAGACTGACGCAAGGTCGAGCCGCGAGGGTCGACGAGCCGAGAATCGAGCGCAAGATGGCCGAACATTGGCGAAAATTGCGAAATCGGACCGCTTGCCAGAAATCGGATCGATTCGAACCGTCAGCGGGTTCGAGCGCGCGGCTGAACGAGCAAGAAATTGCTTCCCCGCACGTCGAAGATGGCGAGGGAGGCTCGAGTGTTGCAGACGGCGCGGTGGAAGCGAAGGAGATGAAGCGCCACGATCTTCTGGACAAGCTCAAGGATAATGTTAAAGAGAAGATGGAGGATATTCATAGGGTAGAGAATTTTTTTGCCGCGAAAGAGTCTTCTTTAATCTTCAAATAAGATTTTTTTTATGGCAACCAACACAGGAATATCGATAAAATTTCAAAAGGAGATTGTACAGAGAATTGTTTTACAAATTGTTTCTTGATTAGCTTTTATCGA